CGTATCATAACGGAGGAGGCGAGTCATTGCTTGATTAGCACTGACCACCTGTCTAGTGTCCAACGCCATTGTCATTTTTGGAGCTGATCGGCTTTGTTTTCTTACAGCATGCATGCCTCGTCGCGCAAATGCTTTTCGTCGTTCGTGTAGATGTGCCAAGACGAATGAGACGTGCACTCCCATGTTTTCCACTGTACAGCACACTGTGTACCTCCCAGTGCCGCTTCCTTCTTGGCACAGGATGGACTCGTGCATACCATGCGCCGCTCAAGCATTGCATGATCACCAGGGCATAATTTACAGTTGATCTCACGCTTCGCATAGATTGAAGAGCAGCAAAACATCTCGGCTCGGAATTTTGTAAAGCCGTCACTGGATGTATGCTCCGCCAGCTTCCTCCATGCTATTCTCGGCATTGCTGCACTACCAAGAGTATAAGCACCCACTGTAGGCGGACGCGTAGAATGAGGAATAAACACACAGAGCAGTGCGGCCACGCAGTACGGTGCTATGAATGGTTGGTGTATGGTGCGACTTGTGATTCACTTTAACTCGCAGACGTGGTCATCTACGTCATTACTAATTTACCAATCTATTTTGCTCGAGCCCGCAAATCTATCTGATGACGCACCAAAACGGCACTTTTATTTTGCTCAAGCCTTTTTGGTTTTGCTCGCGCCCCATCTCGTTTTGATTTCACCCCAAAAAGTGTTTGTTGGCACCCCGGTCTCGTGCCCATACAATACGATCATCGAGTCGATGGTCCCACCTCGTTATTACGCAAATCACACCGGCCGTTTTAGCGAAAATCACTGCACTCCCCTCTTTTTAAAACAGGTATCCTGCGTCTTTGGGATGCAGGAATTCCAGGCAGACACTCTACACCAATCAGTGATTGGCAACCACAGGAAAAGCGCAGCTCTTCTTCTTGGTCGCCGAGCTTTTTTGCCTTGCATCGGCGCAATAATGCGTTTTGTATTCCCAGTTCGTACAGTAATCGTTAAGCGTAGTGTACTGTACACTGTAACCTCATCGAAATAGCCAAACCTCTTTTGAACGTGTTGAATTGTGGTCCGACGAGCATCAAATGGGCATGAAAACCCAACCAATCTTTGCTGGTGTTTGGTTTTCGACCTTCGAAGTCGAGGAGCCGGTCGACGATTCAAGCAACGACCCCATCTCGAGATTCTCGGATAGATCGGGAACCGATGGGACCCATTTTGTCGCTTGGTTGTGTTGAAGAGCCTCACTTTGCATACCGGTACATTAGGGAAGTTGTTCGCTCAATTGGGCCGCTCCAGCCTGGAGTCCAGGTGGCAGCGTTACTGCTTTCGAGCACCCCGCTGATCGTACGGTCTCTGGTACCGGCTCGAGCTTTGTCCTTCGTACTGTAGAAGCTTGAGCTCTTCGTGACGAGGATGGTGTCCATGTACAGCCACTGTACAGCTCGGTGCGGTGGAATGGCGGCTTTGCAGGGCCCGGGGAGTCCAAACTCTGGCTCTGCTTCCGACTCGACACTTTTGCTTTCTCTGAGTTTGTCAAACCGCGTGCTTGTTGTTCGTGGCATAAGTGTCGGAAGAGCGAGATGTGGGCTACCAGCAGCATGATCAGTGAAAGCGGCTGCAGCGAGAGTTCTCGCGGGGTGCGTCTCGAATGCGACCCCAAGCAACGACGACTTACTATCACGGGTGGAATGGACGACACGGATGCCTCAGGCTTGAATGTTCAGCTGTCGGACCAAGAGATCGTCACTGATCTATTGGCGACTCTCCCCAAGCTCAAAGCCGCGGTAGAGGACCACGAGAACAGGGCACCGAATTGGCTTCGTAAGTCTAAAAGCGGTGAGGCCGTCGAGATATTCGAGTTGCTGCCTACTCGAGATGGCAAAGGAGACGACATGGATCTTGTGCACTCCGTGGTGGCGACGATCGAGATCGAGTGTCATTTAAACGAGGTGCTGAACGTGTTGACAAGCCACAAGACCAACCACGACTTGGAGGCCTCGATGCGCGCTATTATCCCTAAAAAGAAGGTCCGACAAGGTGAAGTGTTGCTACAACCGCATGCTACGACGCTCGACGGTGCACCTATTAGACACACTAGACTCACGCAGAAATCTACAAGAGGAGGCAAGACAGTGAGATTCGACAACACGAGTATTCCCGAGGATGAAGAGGAGGACGATTCAGAGCGTAAAGTGCTGGTCAGTGTTAGTATGACGCGTTTTAAATCCAAGCGAAGGCTCGACGTGCGTGGCCGACTGCGCAACCGCCACCAACGTCTGCAGAAGCTTTGTCTTGCCACTCTGACGCATCAGTTCGTGGGGAAACAACGCGCTGTTCACGTAATCAAGACGCTGCCTCGATCAGTGCACGACCAACTCGCTCCTATTGAGGAGAAACATCAGAGCAGATCAGTGCTGGGCAGTGGCCTACGTGGCCTTGATCATATCTCAGTAGGCTTCGACATCCAGACGAGGAACGTCCACTGCATCGGAGCTAGAGGCGCCGCTCAATCGACCAAGATCATTGCGCACGGATACGCGTCCGTGACGCCTCCAGAGCAGTTCGGTCAACAGCAGCAACGCACCATGACGTCGTACAGTCCTTCGGAGCTGGCCAACTACCGTTCGTCCCATGTGAATGCAGAAGCCAAGCATGTGATTGAGTTATTGACGACTTCGTTGATGCAATTCGAGCGCGTGATTCGCCGACGACGCCTCGGATTGCAGACGTTTATCAAGCTCAAGTCTGGGGACCGAGGCAGCGACCGCCAGAGCTTCCAGACCTGCGAAGTGTGCAACAACCGGTTCTCTCTCCTTCGTAGAGAATTCCACTGCCAGCTCTGTGGCCACGTGTGTTGTGGAGATTGCTCCAAGCAGTACGAGGTGGAAGCTAACGTCGGAGAGGTGACCAAGAAGAGACTGTGCGTGCGCTGTATCACGAATGTGGACTCGTGTATCTTCGAGGACGAGGACTTTATGGTGGCTCTTGGTCCAGCGGTGATTGACGACTACGACGGAGAGTACGACGAAAACTTTGACGAGGAATACGAGAGCGAGTGCGAGTACGATCGTCGGGACGAGAACGACACGTACGCGAGTATCGGCTCCACTGTCGCGTGCTCGGAGTTCGACAGCAACGGCAGCCCCGACGACGTTTCTTCGGATCTGTACCCCGAGAACGTGTTGGAGCGCTCTAGAGCGTTGCAGACACTCGACCGCCTGGTGAACTCTCAGATTAAAGCATCGGGCAAGCTGAGTCTCTTCGAGCGATCTCGACTCACGCAGTCGCAGCTGAACCAGTCGTCGCAGTTGAGTCAAAGCCAACTCAGTCAGTCGCAGTCGCAGGTGGACTTCAAGCACCCGCTGGCTCAGAGTCAGCTCAGTATGTCTAGCCAGTTCAGTCAGTCCCAGACTCACTTTAGAGACACGAGAGATACCCAGCTAACGCAGAGTCAGCTTAGTCAGTCCCAGACTCGATTCCGAGACACCAGAGATACTCAGCTCACGCAAAGTCAGCTCAGTCACTCGCAACCGGGATCGTCCAGAGACACCCAGCTAACTCAGAGCCAGCTAGGCCAGTCTCAAAGTCGATTCAAGAGCACGCAGAGTCAGCTCAGTCAATCGCAGACGCGATTTAAGGACACGCAGCTCACACAGAGCCAGCTAAGCCAATCCCAGTCTCAGTTCCAGGACACACAGCTCACACAGAGCCAACTGAGCCAGCCAAAATACCAATTCCACGAGTCTCAGCTCACGCAGAGCCAACTGAGCCAAAGTCAGTCTCAATTCAAGCAGTCTCGGTTCAAACAGGCCCAATTCGACGAGTCCATCGTAGCGCAACTTCGTGCAGACGTCGAGGACCACCTGAAGCGAACTCTACGCGCTACGCTGCGAGACACGAGAAGGAACTTCGCAGGTGCAGACGAGTCGCAGTTCTCCATCGCTCCACTGGAACGTGACTACCAGCTCGAGTTCGATGGCAGTCAGACGATGTCTCCGTCTCACCCGTTGCCTCCTAAGCCACTGCCAGCTCAAGAGCGACGACGACTGCAGTATGTTATCAGTTCCGGTGCCTTGAGCCCCACGTACGACCGTGGTGCACTCAATATGCTGGGCCAGATCGCTGCTGCTAACTTGAACTGCCCCATTGGATACGTGACGATGATTGATCAGTCCACACAGTACGTTGTTGGTCTGCACCCTCGTGGGGCTATCGGAATGTCCATTCCTCGTGAGGAATCCATGTGCTCGTACACCATCTACCACGAACGTCCACTGGTAGTGAAGAACGCATTGAACGACATCCGCTTCAGTCACATGGGCTTCGTGATCCAAACGGGGCTTCGATTCTACGCCGGGTTCCCCATCCGAGCACCCGACAGTGCCGTAGTGGCCACCATTTGTGCAGCCGACTATAAGCCGCACAAGTACATCTCTGCCAAGCAGTACGCCGAAATGGAGGCGTTGGCAGAATTGGCGAGCACGCTCATTATCACTCCAGACATCGAGGTCAAGACCGCCAAGCGAGACGCACACGCGTTCCCACGATTTTAGAGAAGGAGATAGTGACGTATTATCTAAAAATATGATTCTCTTGCGAACAATTATGGGTACTGTAAGCAAACATGTTTGCTCTTTTAATTTTTTTTGATATTTAGTCACTTCGAAGTACTAATTTACAAATCCCTTTTAGAATTTATTGAGGCACGAAGATCTTTTTTTATTTTTCAAAACATTGTATAAGAAACTGATAATATTTATTACTTTTGATTTTATCTCTTTAATCTCAGATTTTGAAAAATGAACCTCATGGTTGGAGACCGGGTGGACGACGGCTCTGGCTCGTTGGGCACCGTCCGCTACGTTGGTCCCGTGGCGACATCGAAAAATGCATCTACGCTGTACTACGGCATCGAGTGGGACGAGTGGGGTCGCGGCAAGAACGACGGCAGCGTCGAGTTGCCAAGTGGAGAGCGCGTGGTGCATTACTCGGGCCCTCCAGGCCGCAAAGTGTCCGGACACGGAAGTCCAGTGGGCTACAAATGCTCGTTCGTGAAAGCTTCAGTGTTCGACAAGACAGCAGAACGAAGTTCGCTATTACAGCGACTGCATGAAAGATATTCCAACAAAGAACAATATTCCAAGTCAGAGGAAGGAACTCCAGGTGACGTGGTGGTAGCCGGAGAGGTGGGCACGACGCTGGGCAGCGAGAAACCCATTGAATTCGTGGGAGCCAAGAAGCTCAGCACCCAGCAAACGCTGCAAACTATCGAGAAAATTTCACTTTCCAGCTGTCAAATTGTCGAGTTAGGAGGACAAGGACTGGGGGAATTAGCCCCAAATTTAACGGAACTGGACCTATCCAGGAACCTTTTCAGCAAGTGGAGTGACATAATTGCTATCATCCGCGAACTTCCGCTACTGGAGACGCTGATTCTAAGCGGGAATAAGTTGACAATTGAGGAAGAAAATGACAGTAGCAAACTAGCAATTTTTGAGAATTTGAAGGTGCTGGTGCTAAGTTACACTCTGCTATCATTGAAAAATGTGGGAGCGATCACCACACGCCACTTCCCCAAGCTGGAACAGCTGCATGTAGTAGGCAACGAGTACGAAGACGACCAGCTGACAGAGTGGGAGCCAACTGGAGGCTGGTTGGAGACGCTGTCGGTGTTGGATTTGAGTCTCAACCGCTTGAAATCATGGAGCAAAGTGCTGCAAGGTGCTGGGGAGTTCCCGAACTTGAGTCAGCTCTTCTTACACGGGAATCGGATCGTGACGCTCGTGGCTGACGTGAAGCCAACCTCGTTCCAGCAGCTTACGACGCTGTCGCTGAGTGAGAATCTGGTCGATTCGTGGACTTCTATTGACGCTTTGAATGCTTATCCTCTGCTGGATACTCTACGCTTCTCAAAGAACCCATTGACGACGCAGATGAGTCTGGGCGAAGCTCGATTGCTGGTTGTTGCAAGAACCGACCACATCGCAGTGTTTAACGCAAGTCCAGTCCGCGAGAAAGAGCGCAAGGAAGCGGAACAACTCTATCTGAAGCGAATCTTGCACGAACTGGCTGTGATCGGCGAAGATACGACCGAATATGGGCGTGTATTAGCAGCTCATCCACGCTTCACTCGCTTGCGAGAGCTGCATCCAGAGATCTCCATTGATCAAAATGGCTACACTGCGGGTAGTGGGTCTACGGCTGGTCCAAGGAAGTTGGCGTCGAGTCTCATTAAAGTCAGTATCATCCCCATGTCAATGCAAGCGACTGGTTTCGAACCTTTAGTCAAGAAAATCCCTCAACAGATGAAGATATCGCAGCTCAAAGTACTCATCGAGACGAAATTCGGCATCCAAGTCCCTGCTCAAGTGCTTTCCTTCCGTACCGACTCCAGAGTAAGTGTGTATCCTAGGCTTATTGTTTTTATGTTGTGACCACTGACTTGGTGTTTAATCGTCGGTAGAGTTTACCGATGCTGCTAGACGAGGACAACGCAGAAGTGAGCTACTACGGAATGCAGGTAAGGACTTCTCAGCTCTCCAGTATTTCGTTCATATCGATCCTAAATTTTGTTTTCTAGGATGGCTCCGAGGTGCTGGTTAATGACAACGAGTGACAAAATAAGGCTGAAATGAGCGAAATTGGGGACCCGTGCCCAGACGCCCGGGGATCGATAGTAGTAATTGCATGATTTTTCGCCAAACTATATATTATATCCGTTCACAAAACTAATACTACTAGCACTTGAGTATTATAAAACATTACAATTGTAGTAGTACTAAATTACTGGGTAATACTAAAATTGAACACCGTTAAATTTAGACAATAATATTCCTCTTTAACAAATTTGGCCCATCTAGGATGTGACGGGGTCACACACACCTTGCACAGAGGAAATGCTTAAGGGTATTTACTACCCGAGTGAACGTTAGTCCACGTGTTTCCGGCCTTAGTGGGAACGGTTTGCTACTAAGAAGAGTAGATGTAAGACTGATGTATTTATAAGTAAAGTTAGCTTGGGCTCCATACAAACTAAAGGTTACATAGTGGAGCTAAGTAGGCATGCCCTGACTGGCTCTGAGAGCACCTGGTACCATGTACTAGGTGTCCACAAGAGTGACGGGTCACTCTTTATGTAACGTGGGGCACACTGGATTGTACCTCGTTACATAGGACAACGAGGACAGCTGCCATTCTCCTCAAATGCGGGACGACATCGTCGGTCAAAGTAATGGCTATTGTGGTGAAGAATCTGGAGTCTCGTGTAGCCGCCCTGCACGAAAAGCAGCAAGCTAGTTAGCGCAAGCATCCAGAATTCCAGGTGCTAACAAAGGATGAGATCACTTGCAAATACTTGCAATTCCGAATATTTCGGGTAGAGAGCTATGCGTTAATTCGACTACTTATCGCTAGAACTATCGCGCCAATCAAAGAAAAAAAGCGAAGGTCATTGGAAAACGACTGACGAGGGTGCGATTTTAACAATATGCTTCAGCCAGCTCATGACGCGGGACCGATTCGCCCATCTTTCACAAAACATGTACTGGAGTAGCAACAAGGATTCTAAAGCGACCGCAGACCGCGCATGGAAATTACGTCCTGTTATCACGGTGCAACAAAATACAATTCAGAAGCATTATGATCCCACGCCAACCATGGCCTTCGACGAAGCTATGCTTCCGTCAAGATCACCCTTCAATCGCATTCAAGTTTATATGAATGATAAGCCTCCTAATTGGGGGACCAAGCCCTTCTGTGCTGTGCTGTCATCAGACCGCCTACAGTATCCGGTAAGGATATTGAGTGCGCCTGGCGGCGCACTCATTTTTTGTTTTGTTCCAATGTTGGTAAGCGTGTCTGGGACATTCTTATTCCTTTTAATTTGTGCCTCATACAGTTTCGAGGTGCTTTGTCGTAGAAGACAAACGCAGGACGAAAACACGCCGCCCGACGAGAATCGGGCCCAACCGCCGTTGCTAGAAACCTACGCCAGGTCTTTGGAGCTAAGAGATCTGAATTGTGGTGACGGACTGCTTTTATACTTCAGTGATATATGCGGTCGAGTTACTTACGATGGATTTCTACAGCGTTGGAGCGATTACGATGAAGAAACGTGGATTATGCCAAACCATCTTTCCATAAAATAAGACAAACGGTCGCAGAGCATCAAACAAGCGTCCTGCTACCATTGTACGCGCGCTACACTGATGCGTTCAGCGAGTATACACTAGTACGAGTCTTTTATTTTGGGTAATATAAAGAATAGCTCGCTCTATTGATAGATGGACTTGCTAGCTTGAACGTGTACAAGGAAAAGAGATGGCGAAACGGTATGCAGTTGCAGATTCACCGGTCAAACCAACACTGTACCTAAACCCTAGCCCGCTAGTCGAAAAGATGAGAAAAACTTGCTTCGCGGGATCTCTACCGCTTCCTTCAACGACTGCGTTCGCTGGTGAGGCTCATGTGCCTTTCATGAAAGCGATACGATGGTACGATAGTCAATGCATACATGTCCTGGCAGCAGGTGGGAGCGCTTAGGAAGACCACACCGTGCTCCGTGATCCAGCTACTTTGGGTGAGGCCAAAGTGATGGCTCCAAGGACCGTGTCTGACTATCAGACTTTTATGGGTGACGTCGACGATCACGATCAGATGAGGCTCCAAAGATAGATATGCTATCTTATCGTGTCTCGAACACGTTTGCATTGCTAAAGGTACTCTCTATAGCACAAGAAGTGCAATCGTGGGTTCTTGAACTAATTTAATGGACCTGGTTATCATCAACGCTTTCGTTGTCTACAACTGACGTCGCACCCAATACGGCCAATGGGAGGTGTCGTACGTGGTCCTCAGATAGGAGCTGTACCAGCTCTTATCTGAGGACTGACAGTAGCTACTGCGTCACAGCGGCCTTCAACCAACACCGATACAAGACCGCGAGAGGTTTCGTTATACACGGATGCAGACGAAAGAATGACGGAAAGGGGGTGTCACCAGGCCAGATAGCGCCGGCAGTGCGCGTGTAAGGGCTATTGGGCTCTCGAAACGAATGGAGAGGGGTGGGGGGGGGACGACTGTGATAAACCTGCTTCGTTCTTCGAGATCTGGCACACATGTTGGAAAAACGGCACATTGATTCTCTAGTCACGCAACAAAAGCAAGATTCGTGCCCGAAACTCAAAGAAGCATACCGCTGGTGATAACGCCTCCAGCCCACCAGACATCAAAGATGAAAGCGACAGCGCACCGCAGCGGAAGCCACACACCAATGATGACACCAACTATCTTTATTTTATAATTGCATTTAGTATACGGTAGTTCTGATTTGTTATCATATGTTCGGCGTCTCTAAATGTGTTAAATTTGCGAAGCTGTAATCGCCACGAAGTCTTGCCATTTCTGCTCGCAGCAGACACCTTTTAAAGCTATTAGCGTGTAGTGGGCATCTCAAGATTTTGAAGACACGATATGCGGCGCGGTTAGGGACGAGTCCTGGCTTTGAAACAGACACGACAAAAATAACTTCATGTCTATAAAAGTGCCAATCCTC